TATATATAATTTAGAAACACATTTTCCAATTTAAAGCAAAAGAAAAAGTAAATAAGTTCTCCTAGCATAATTAACAAAATTATCAACGATCCTATTGTCATCAAATTATTAGGTGTTTTTTTTTCGTGATAATTCAAAAGAAAAAAAAAACAATAATAGCCTAGTTATCATCCAAAATTTAAGAATCAAATATAAGCTATGAAAATTATCGAAGAAAAAAGATAGAAAATGAAGAATGTAGCATAATTTAGGACAAAAAAGGAAGTGTTTCAGCATTTCCAGAAACATTTCATAACTTTCTATCATTTTTGCATGAATTTTAAATTTGCAATATTGAAATAATATATCAATCAATATTTATTAACTCTTGCGGAAAGTTCATTTAAATTTCATTTGTAACAAAAAAAAAAACTCCACGAAAAGAGAGCTAATTATGGCATGGATGTCACAGCTAAAATAACTTCTATTTTAGCTTTATAATTTAATGGGAAATTGCAAATAGAGTTAAAACATAGCTGCTAGAAATTTGATGTACAAATTAGATGGACGGAATTCTAAAGTATAAAAATAATTGAAAATGAATTTCAAATACAATCATTTGATATTTAAACAGTTCATTTTGCTAAATCGTGTTTGCATTGATTTTCTGAGGTAAATGTGTGTGTGTGTGTGTGTGTGTGTGTGTGTGTGTGTGTGTGTGTGTGTGTGTGCGTACAAAAAAAAAGCAATTACGTATTTTTTAAAATACTAAAAAGATTTTTGAACTCTATGGAGCTTCTAAACGCTCAGTGCATATGTTCTCTTTTAAATTCTTACTAATACATATCGATGGATTAGCGATCCTCAATCATATCGGTTTTTCAGTTAGGAAAAACAATTCAATCTTTGACAATTAATTATGCGTGCAATAATAAGAGTTAATATTCTTGTCAATGATCAAATCGCTTTATTAGATATTTACATATAATTGTGATGTAAAAATTTTACATTATTCTCTTTATTTATTTGAGATAAAGTAATTGAAATGTAATGTGTATGGGAATGATTGATATCAGTACAAAGCTCACATAATTTCATCCATGGTGCACTAGCAAGACTGGAATATCCGGTTCATACTGCATTTCATCAACCCATTCATTAGTGCTTTATTAAAGCAAAGCATAATTTAGAATGCTATATATCATTATACCTTATACTTATACTTTAATACAGGTATAAAATATACATGAAATTTGACGTATATTTATAGAGAGATAAGTTGATATTCATTCACCAGTGGGAAAAAAGGCAAAAATTAAAAACATCTACAAAATGAGATTTGCAGTTGCATTAAAATATGACAAATCCAGTTATTGATTTGTTTTTTCTTGAAGCTCAGTCCCGAAATTTTTAAATAAATTCAATTTAATTTGCTAAAATTTCCTCAGCAAATTTTTATTTGCAGAATTCGAAATATGTTAGAATGTTTCGAATAAGATCCATTTTTATCATTTAAATGTATCTCACTTTCAATTTTCATCAAATTTTGACAATCCTGGCTGGCGATTGTTAAAAATTCACAACAGAATCCTCGAAGTAACTTAAAAGTCAATAAATGGAACAGAAAACAAACTGAAAGAGATTGTCAACCCAATGAGTCGGAAAAAAAAAAAGAACTCTGAAAATGTATACGTTTTACAAGGATGCCATTAGAAGAAGGTAAATAAAAGTAGTTAGCAAACTTCAAAAATGTGAGTTAAAAAAAAAAAAAAATAGGAGCATCTGGTAAAGAAATGTATATAAATCACGTTTAGAGCTTTTTTGATCTAAACTTCCTCGAGAAGTATGAAAATTCGCATAATCTTGTAAAATTCTATTACATATGCATCTAAAAAATTGGAAATAAAAGTTAAAATAAAATCATACGAAGAATGGAATGATTTGCAACAAATCTGATGTAATCGAACTAAATAGAAAAAAAAAAGGATGGAATGGAAAAAGAAAGGGTAACTGCCGGAAGGAAAAACAGACTGCACTGCTGTGATGTTAGTAGTATGTCGGTCAAAAAATGCGCTAAAAATGTACTTTGCTATGCGCAACCTGGCACCAAAATCGAAATTGGGAACGCGACAAAAGAAAAGAGAAGAGGGGTGGAACGATGGATTCGGGAACAGAGGAATGGGGATGGAAAATGGAACGGGGACTAAAAGCACCACAACTTACCCCACACTTCAATTCTTCTTCCTCGAGAAGAGGTGCTCCAGCATTATATCCAGTACAGCAAAATCATCATCCATTCAAATTTTATCATTTTATCTCTTCCAGACTAAATAAATCGCCTTTCTAAATAAATCTCAAAATATCTCTAACAGATCATCGCTCTAAAAGCGACAGTTTCAAGTTTTACAGTTCCAAGAAATCTAACACTTCTTTCAGCCAATGACAAGTTAAATTAGAATTACCAAGAATACAATTTAAATTAAAGTTCATATGTTATCTTTGGTATTACTTAGGAAAACTTCATTGTGCAAATTGCGCTTCTACATATAGTTAAATCATTTGACATATATGAAACAAAAATAGAAATTAGCTCTTGAATATTTTTACGAATTTAATATTTCTAATCATTGTGGTTAAATTTTGAAGTGAACACAATACCTTCCAATGTGTCCACTAATGCTGTATGGTCAAGAAACTAGGTTTGATTACACATATTTGATATATAATCATATGATATCAAGAGAATACACGAATAACACCGGATAGTATTGTTGAAAACAACCGGAATCAAAGTTACCAAATGAGAAGATTTACTTTTTACAATTTATCTTCACAATATCCTTCTCTGACATCATCCTTCTCCTCTTCAAATACTTTACAAATCCTTTTCTCATATTTTTTTCTCCCATTCCAACTATCTTATTTCTATCATGAATTCAATTTTTTCCCCGATTTTAAAATTTCTCATCCATTTTCTTACCTTTTTAAAACTTCGCAGTACTGCAATGCTTTTCTATCTGTGCTTCTGCATCCTCTGAACCTCTTCTTATCATATGAGACATGTCTCATGAAGTGCAAAAAAAGATCCTTTGAAAAAAGATCTCAAAAATTGCTCGAAAATTTATTGCACTGTATAGTATAAAGGAGTTTTAAAAAATACATTTTAAACTCACTTAATTCTTACTAATCTATTATACGTCCATTGATAAAACACAGTGCAATAAAATCAGCATTACAAAATACTAATGCAATGTCAGTTATGAGTGTTCAACTAAAATTACTTTCTTTATCATTCATCATCCACTTTAAATTTTATCTAGCTTTTTCTTCTAATTTATTAGTAAAATAAAAATAAATTTCACACACTCTAAGCATTTCAAAAATGGAATGAAACGATATAACATTAATCCACATCATTCCACCTCGTATCATTCTTGAATGAATGTAAATTCGATTTCGCTCCATAACGAAGAACTCGTCGACATTTGAGAGATTGTCGTCGGATTGAGTCAATTCGTGACAGTGGAGAGACGGTAAAAAAGAAGCCACTCCGACGCAAGCGTTCATGAAGCGCTCGATGATCCGCATTCGGTGACTGCAAGAAATACAAATTTTCCATTTAGATTATCTTTGATTAAAACCTAAACAAGAAGTCTTTATGTATGCAAATTATCGATAAACCAAGGAAAGTCATAAGAAATATTCTTAAATCAAAAATTGTAAATTAATAATTAATCGTTCGTTGTACCGAGCACAAAATGTCTTCTAATCCGCTATTTTAACAAATATAGAAGGTATTACTTCCTCATTATACTGCTGCTTGAATCGTTTATAATGTTCATAAACGATAATTGACATACACATTATTTTCAACTGTGATAGATTCATTTCGTGCGCAAACACCAAAAAATGAACAATCCTATCCAAAATTGAAAAATTCTGAAACTGTTGTGAAAAAGTAATACTCATAATACCAAATGATACTTTAATTCTCCATAAAAGTTTAACTTCCGAAATTTTTAACATATTTAGCAGAAATTACTTAGAAAATTAATTTTTCCAGAGCTTATTTAGCATTACAGAATAAAATTTGCTAAAAGAGGAATAAAATGATTTACCTGTATTAACAATTTACAGAGGGCACGATGAATAGTATTTCTAAGCGCGTCACGATTTAAGGGTTTAAAATGCATTGCTATATCAATTAGTTCTTTAGCTAATTCCGGTGTTAAATTCTCTGGCATCTCAAATGTACCAGTAATCATAAACACTAATACCTGAAAAAGGAGCAAATTTTTTCTATGATTTTTGTCAATTCTCAAATTATCGTATTTAAATTTATGAATGGGTAGAGACAATTTTTAATATGGCAATATTTTTTCCATGAAACAATAATTTTTGATCGTAATTTTTTATAGCTTTAAACTTTCAAAAATTATAATGTTAAAAACACCTTGCGAACGGATTCCAGATTGTAATCGGGTACTGACTGTTCTTTCGACATTAATCCTTCATCATTTGCTGTGAACAAAAAGCGAAAGTAATCAGAGCTTAAGAATAACGCACTTTTCGATATTTTAAGATCACCATCTCGACAATGTATGGTAAAATCACTGGAAACAGTATAGCACCATTAAATTACAAATCTAAAGTGAAAGCTTCTTACAATAAAAACTTTGCTTGAAAATATCAAATAAATTTCAATTTTCATCTTACCACGTATTTTTTTTTTTTCAAGTGAAAGATATGTTAATATTTCCAAGAATTATCATTTCACATTTATCATCGAATGTGAAATGACAATTCTTGATCTATTCAAACATTTGCTGATAATGACTGCACAAGCAATAAATCCATTTATTAGAATCCAAAAGAGATATCGTCTCGTCCATTAATAATACTTTTTTTTTTTTAATCAATATTAAAGGGAAAAAAATAACTTACGCGCCCTCATTATTGAGAATTTTGAAGCGGAAATCATTTGTGGTATCAGCAGGCGGTGCTGGAACCATACTCATCCAACTATTAAAGCTCAAATTAAAAGACTCTGCACCGAATAGAAGGTCAACTGTAATCACGACTGTTTTTCCTAAAAATATATCACATTAATAGTAGTGAAATTTTAAAAAATCTTTTTAAAAAAAT